CATTTCACAGAGGCTGTGAGCCACGGGTAGCGTTCATAATTGCTCGTCTGAAAATGACGGACAAACTCTTTTCCTTGCTGGGACAGGTTAGCTAGCGCAGGAGTTGGGCGACCTCTTCGCACAATATCCAGCTTTTGGTGGAAGGTCTGTCTTGAAAATTGTGTGGAAAGTAGTTCCACAACCAGATCAACGTCTTCCCCTTCAGCCATTTTGGGTTAAAATGCATTGACAGCTCTCGCGGGTGGCGCTCATCCAATGTTTTTTTTTTTTTTTAAATCTTTATTGAACAAGTCAGGATATAATTCTCAGGAAACAGAAACGGCGCTAATCCAATCACCGAACGCGCACGGCCAGTCTCGACGTAAGGCCTTCTCGCTAGCCCTAGTACGCAGACGAGAACAAGTCAGGATACAGGTAACAGATCACGAGTCTCAGACTCGTGATCTGATTGGCTATTGAAACCTGACTGTGCCCGTTCACTTACAGCGCACAGGGGCCTGCTCTGTTTAATCTGAGGGCCCGGAGCAAGTTTAATTTACCTGGCAACACAAGCTAGCTGAAATATGATTGGTTAATAATAAGTTATTTATCGAGTGGCTTTCAATATTATTTAAAATAACATTGAAAGCCACTCAACTAAGTGGAAATAATACAACGTAAAGAATACAGAGAATAATTTTGTTTACATATTTATGAAAATAAAATAACAAATTATAAAATAACATAAAATACATAAAAGTAAATTTACTTTTCTGAGAATGTTTAGGCCAGCAGAGAAGGCCTTGCTGGCCCTCAGGGTCCGCCACTGCGCTAGCCTAATTAAGACATGTTTGTCTGGTCTGAAAAAAGGCATACAAGTTGCGGCTTTCTTCTTGTCCTGTTCAGAGGATTTCCTTTCATGATTCAGTTAGTGTCACTGAAACTAATCCTCTGAATCCAGGGATGTAGTGGACATCGGGAATTTTGGAAGTTTCCCGAATGGCCAGTCCATTTCTGGCTGAAATTGACGTACAGTACATTAAAGTTGAACCAGCGTAGCTCGCACTTGTGACATGTAAAGTTATTATTATTATGTTTTGACCAGGTATGACCACTACATATGTTTATGAAAGGGTTTAGTGAAAGGGAATTATTTTGTGTGCCACCAAATTGTTTACATTGTGAGGAATGACAATCTTTTTCTGTTTGTACTTTTTTCTTTTACTTACAGGAAGTACAGGAATCGACTTAGTACTTTTACAAGAGTTTTTTTTTTTTTTTTTACACGTGCATCTGAATTTCTACCTCATTATCTGAACAGAGTATTTTTTTCCACCTCTGAAGGTTTTACAACATTGAAAAGTCTGGACAGATTTCAAGTTAAAGTTAAAATTGTGAATCTGGTTAATGAGTGCAAATGATGTGCTGACTGTCTATTCCCATGCAGGTATGTGTCTGCGCTGACCACACCAGCTCGCTTGTCTCCGGTGGAGTTCCACTACCCGTCGCTGCCGCCCCAAGTTCCTACCTTCCACATCACATCACCCAACACAAGCCATGCCCTCTCCCTACCACCTGCTGCCGCAGCCTACCACAGAGATGACGACCAGCCGCTGCTAAGATGCCCTGATGTATGTACACCAGCTTTTTACAGAGGTTTTCAGGATGGTAGATGACCCCCCTCCACCCACTGGAGATACAATATTGGACAAAGTCAGTTCCCCAGATCAAAATTCTTTTTTCTTGCATGTTTTGCTGAACACACGGTTATGTTTTTGTTTAGGTTACATTCGGTTTTGTTCCCCCCCATGTGCCTTTTTTGTCTCCACCTGTTCTCGTCATCCGTGTCCCTTGTGTTTAACCAATCGGCTCCCTCAACCCTTTGTGTCTTGTCCAGGTGTTTTCTCGTTGGCTCGTCGCTTTGCTTGTATTTAGTTCCCTGGGTTCTGTCCGTTTTCATCAAATCATTGTGTGTTCCTGTCATGTTTTGTTTCTTTGTAAATTTTGGTTTCATGTGGGCTTCAGGACTTTGCTTGTGTATTTGAGTTAGTTTTTCCATTGTACTCCTGCAGGTATTTTTTTTGTGAATATATTTTGTTCAGTCCACCCTGCTCCTCCTGCCTCCCTGTTTTTTGGGGCCTCTACCATCACGCAAAACACACATTGTTGAAAATCGTTTTGATTACTACAGGCCTGGAAATCATGAACATGATCAGTGTCTTAACATGAATTAATGTAATTAATTCTTTATACTAATTATAATATTAAAGGTGATATGAGTGTATTTGTTATTTTAGAAGTTTGTATCAAACTGGTAGCCCTTCACAGAAATCACTACCCAACAAGTCACTCTCTGTTACAAAAGCTTTGGTCACCACTGCAGTACACTGATGAATTATGGAGAACTGTAAAAACACACATTTATTCAAAGTATATCACAGTATATCAAAACATCAGCGAAAGTTAAGACCATTAAATTTAATGTAAAACAAGTACAACATGAAAAATGATTGCCAAAGGCAACCAGTGAAATTCACCTGCAAACTATGGGGAAAAGCCATTAAAGCAACCTTGGATGTCCTGAAAAGCTCGAAAACAAATGAATTATTTTTATTATTATTCCTTCTCAATGGTTACCAATTGAAAACAATTGTATAATTATTATTGTTAATCATGTCTGTCAAGTGCATGGAAATAGGTACTGTAGTGGAAAAAAAATGGATACAATATCAATACTAAATTTGGCATTTTTACCTGCAGTGTTACACGAGCCATAGTGAGGATTGCAAATTACATTTTGAACACTAAATTGCCTTGATATCAAGGAACAATTATCTTTTTATTGTTTTCTTTCTTTTACAGACCACCGGTGTCAAACTCCGGTCCTCGAGGAGGGTACCCTGCCTCTTTGAAGTGTTTCCCTCCTCCACCCCTCCTGATTCAAACGATCAGGTCATAAGCCAACTCTTCAGGGACTTGACAATGACCCTGATCATTTGAATCAGGTGTGTAGGAGCTGGGAAACATCTAAAACATACAGGATGGTGGCCCTTGCGGACTGGAGTTTGACACCTGTGACATAGACCCCCATCAGCGGGGTACACATATACTGATAACTGGGCCAAATGTAAGCATTTTACTCCTCTTCTGATCAAAATCAGCAAATGGCGATTACTGAGTGTCTGAAGAATTTTCAACATTTTTTTTCCTCGTCATGTGTGATCTTTCTCACTTGAAACATCGGTGAAAATGTTGGCTGGTTTTGTGGGCACTCTGTTTACCTCCTGCCAACATATGTCAAATACTGTTTATTGTGTAGCAAATGTCTGTCAAGTGGTCTTTTATGTTCCAGGATCGCAGTTTGTACAGGCAGCCTCGACGACCGCGTCGGCCCTACCTGACTGAGAGCACAGGAAGTCTCCCATCCAGTCCCTACCGTCTCCCCGATGAAGAGGCCTATGAGACCACGCAGGAGTACGCCTCCTCAAGGGAGCCCATCCGAAGTCGACGGCGCCCGCGACGCAACCGCCTCAACGGACTCGTATCTCAGAGGTCAGCGGGTTTACGGGACTACAGGTCACAGAGCTTCAGCCAATCAGAGGAGGAAGAGGAAGAGGAGGAGGAGGAGGACGAGGACGAAGCTCAAGGGGAGCGCACGCCTTTCCTCAGTATGCAGAACATGAACATGGACCTGCCTTTAAGCGTGCCAGGTTTCCATTCATCGTCAGGGGCCGACACACGGACTCACCGCGGGCTGAGTCGGCCGGGGAATCGAAGCAACGGGCAGAGTCGTGGCTCACAGTCGCAGCGCTTCAAGTCAGACAACATGCCCCTTTAAGACTACCGCCCCCATCAGCCCCCTTGCCCAACCATG